TGTAATTACATAGTACATCATAAGCTACCCGACTTGGCGTAGCTGAAGATCTCTTCAGAGTTTGAATTAATCTGAATGACCCCGGCTTTATGGCGGTTGAGTTTCTAGACGTGATAAAACGTCAAGTCGCTGGAATAAAGCGAATGGAACCGAAGCAATCTGACATGACGAATGCGTAGTTCTCTGACTTGTTCCATACACCAAAGACGTTATTAGCAGCTACACTATTTACTTTGAAGTACTGTCTCAGTCAATGTGAGAACTTTCCACCTTACTAATATGCATGTCTCTTGTGTAAGGGGCTGAATATCCAGTATTTTGTAAATTTGTGTTCTATGTATGATAAAACCTCAATGCACGGAATATAGGTACATGGAGAAGCTGTTTTACTTTGTGTGTGTGTGTGCTTACAAAGCATATTAATGGAATATTATTGAGGCAATTTTAGGGGCCAATGAAACAATCTCCGTGTACAACATTTCCAACGGCACTGGCTAGCGTTACGTTGGTAGGCATGCTTTATACTGAACATTTGAAGTAAAGAAACCACTTTTTGACTTTTTACAATACTACAGAGACTAGATTTGGTCACATGTATGTGTTATTACTCTCCTGAACTATTATTTTATAAAACAAACCAAACCCTCCTATCTGGGCATATTGCTTTGAAAAAGGGAATGCTTCCATGAATTTTATTATTTGATGTTATGCAAATTATTGTTCCTCAGAAAATATGCATATCAGCAGAACGTACATATGTTGAATAAAAAATCCCCAATATTATAGTAAGTAGTTAACACTTAATAGCTCTATTATTTGAAGCTAGATGATAAACATAACTTGCTCTTGTGAAACACTAATATTTAAAAGAAGGTAGGTTTCAAAGAGTCGCATCCATTAATCATGTTTGTTACAAATCATAATATCCTCTTAAACATCTCTCCTCTTTATATAGAAAAGGGAAAAGCTATGCACCTTAATATTATAATTATTTGGTCCTCTCTGTTCTTGTTGCCTGAAGTTTAAATCCTACTTTGAGTTAAACAAATAGGGAACATTTCTATATCATTTCCAATTTGTCCTGCTAGTGCTGTGGGTATGGCGGTTCAAAACCACCAGTTTAGCATTGGGAAAAAGATTAGATTGTTCCTAATCTCAGAATCCCTATTCAGGATCACTGTGATTTGGAATGAACTTTGGTTTGTGCTAGATATTTGCGTTTCAGTTTGGACTTTGGGCATGTTTATAATGAGAGAGAGATCCTGCAAAGAAGACATCGTGCTTGGTAAAGAAGAAGGGCAGCAAAAAAGAGGAAGACCCTCTACCAGTTGGGTAGACACAGTGGCTGCATCATGGGCTGAGCTATAAGAACAACTGAGAGGATGGCCCAGGATGTGGCAGTGTGTTCCGTTCTGTTGTACATATGTCATTGTGAGTTCGAACTTACTTGGTGGTGTCTAACAAAAAGGGTATTTAGGACATACAATGTAATGAAGCAAAAAAGCTAGCCACTGGCATCTAGTCTATTCAAACTACATATTGGGTCTCAGAGACTGTAAATCTTTAGGGAAATAGACAGTCTCAACTTTTACCTGTAGAAAAGACTGTGGGTTTGAACCATTACCTTGTGGTTAGTGCCCAATGATTAATCTATAGTTTTACTGGGTCTTTTGGCCTTTTAGAAGCTGTCAGTTTGATCAATTGATATGGTAATTTAAAGATTAATTGATGTTTATCTTTAATTATTTCCTTTTAAAATTTGTTTTTAAGTAGACCTTACTTTTGTTTTCATTCTTTTTTTTCTTTTTAATTTTTGATTGGTGTAAAAGTTTATGAGTAAATTGGTGATCCCGTCAACAATTAATAGACCTTTTGTTTTGTGACCTTGACTACAATGTCCATAAGGTAACATCACTCGCCTCACTTCCTTCCGGTGTTTGCCAAGTAATTTGTCCTTCATTCCTATCCCTTCCTGCTTCATGAGCTTCGTCCAGGATAAGATGCTACCCTTCGGTCTCCTGTGGTTGAATGTGAGAGCTTGTTTTCCATTGTTTCCTATTTCCCACACTGTAGCATCACTGCTCCTGCGGGCTCCCTGAAAACTCTTTCCTGTCATCCTTCTTCCCCGCGTTCTAAGTCAGGCTGTGAGCTTTTGTCCTGATAAGAAGACAACTAAGTCATCAATGCAAAAAGTCATCAATTAATTTAATCAATATATTTATTATACCTCACTAGTTTAGGCTACTGTAAATATACCTTCCATCTCTCCCATCCAGCCAGACAAGATATAAAGAGAAAACAGAACAAAAGTACCCATAGCCATTGAGTCTGTTCTGACGCTTAGTGACCTGGTTGGATAGAGGAGAAATGGTCCTCTGGATTTCTGAGACTATAGTTCCTTACAGGAGGAGAAAGCCTCATCTCTCTCCTGTAGAACTGCTGGTGGTTTCGAACTTCTAACCTTGTGATTAGCAGCCCAGTACTAACCAACTACACCACCAGAGCTCATTAGGTGAGATGCAGGTAAGTATTTAGTTTTCTTCAGGTCAAATATTTCCTGTGTTGTTTTGTTTTACTTGTCCATATGGTTCCCTTTAACTGCTTTCACAGTTACAGATATTGTTGAATTGTGAAACATAGTGGGAAAGAATCACAAGAACTCTAACAATAATCAGGAATGAACAAGACTGTATTTGGCAGAAGCTCCAAAGATATAATTGCTTCCTTGTACATCATTGAAGTAATTAATTCTACTATTGTAATGTGGTTTGTTGAATGGAATTTACCATGAGCTGGATATGTTGAAGGCTTTTCTAACTTAATTTCTATGACTCTAATTAGAAGTTCAAAATTAGTGAATTACTGTGGCTTCTTTTCATTTGGGAAAACTCAGTTCAATGCAGTGACCTCACTATAACTGGTGTATAAACAGTGCAGTCATTTGTGGTGTCTGCCTCCCCGCCCCCAATGGATTTTCTCCCACACCAAACCATCTGAAATCATTAGAAGTTTTCATGATCAATTCTCATCATGGGAGAATATATTGTGTAGTTTAAATTGCTTAAATTAAATGTTTCTTAGCTTATGTGAACACTAGAAATAAAAAATTCGGAACAGATTCTTTCCACTCCGAATAACTAACTGTCTTCCAGTTACAACACTGTGAGTAACAGAACAACAATCTTTGGAATGCTTCTCCATTTTCTTTCAGGATTGGCTCATTCTCATTAAAAAAATGCTGAATGTAGGCTCACAAACGCAAGTGACTACAAGACTGGTTAAAAACACCCGACATTTTTTAAAAAGAGACAAAATAAGTGACTATAAAAATACTGGCAGTAATGGAAACAACAGTGTGTGCTTCCAGGTGTGCGGCCAGAGGAGAAGTGTCTTGATTAGAAGTGTCATTGTAATGGAATAATAGGGACCGCTCTGACCAGAGCACGTCAGAAGGTTCACCAGTAAGTTAGCATGGAGTTTTAGCCTAGTAGGCACATTGGTACATGCAAGTGGGGCTTACAAAACATATTTTGTTATTATAACTAACTATGGGGATAATTTTATTAAAAATAATAAATTCCTGCTGAAACATTGCTCAAAAATTGTGTGGATAGTAATTTTAGTGTGACTCCTTTGAGAGCCACGCAGTGAGGTGAGATATCTCAACACCCCCTAGTCAAGCCCGTGAATCACAGTTGTCAGGTGTTAGGTGCGATCAAGTTGCCTCAGACCCGCAGCGACCCTGTGCACAGCAGAAGGAGCCACTGCCTGCTCCTGAGCCCTCCCCACGACTGCTCTGATAGCTGTGCCCATCAGTGCAGCCGCTGTGTCAGTCTACCTCATCCAGGGCCTTCCTCGGTTTCCCTGCTCCACCTTACCAGTGGCTATCGATAGAAATAAAAATCTGGGAACTCAGTATGGAAATTTCACTTTTGTGTGTGTGCTTTGCTTTTGCATTTTCATTCCCTGCCATATTCTTCCTCTATTTTGATCTAAGAATAATGTCTACCGAAATAAAGCTTGCTTTGATTAGGTTATCAGTAAAGCAGTATTTATTATATATTTTCCTCATATTACACATTACAAATATGGGATGTTTTATATGTGTGTATGTATTTCATGGGAAAATGGAATGAAAATATAATGGATGCTTCCCCATGAACATTTTAAAGCCCCTTTGTATGTGTGTATATGTGTGATAGATGTATACAGATACAGACACCTATATTCTTTTTTATGTATGTTTTTATATCTATTATATAGGTTTCCAGCTTTTTCTGATTCAGTAAAAATTCAGTAAAAAAAAATGATTAAGCTGCTTGCTTTGGGGTCAAGCTAAGCATTTACAATTCTCTCTCAAATTCATCACAATCAACTCCCCAGGGCAGGGTTTGATTCTCTGTTAAATGCTAAAAATAACAATGGGAATGGATATCCTGATTTAAATGTGTATGGGAAACTTAGCAAAATTCCTAGTAAAAGTTTACTAAACAGATGTTTAATCATACCATGTAATATAATATGCTTGAATTTCTCATGGATTCAAACATTGCCTTAACACTTGTCACAGTGATTTACATTCATTAAAGTTAATAGTTTCCAGATATTTAACTTCAACTTTTTAGAAACACTTATCTATATGTCCATGGCATGCATCTGGAATTCTGTCATATGGATACTATACCATTTCACTTGTGTTTCCCTCTTCATTGCTATTTGGGACACACTGAGGCTACCAGCGTGTGAAAGGTTTTTCACAGTATTGCTCATTTAGCATACTCTGTTCTCTATACTATGCCTAATTCATATTCCTGAGCAGGACCTATGAGTGAAGATTGGAGGTATTACTACTGATCATAATCCTTAACTTGACATAATAGCGCCTTTGACTCTATGTTGAAATTTTATTTACTTTTCTCTCTACAGTATATTTGTAAACCTGATGCTACTAGATACCTTAATGATTCCAGTGCCATTGCAAATTATGTCTACCCTATCAGGCATCTTCCACCTGAAAGTTCCTGAATCTTCTCCTGTGGGTGCAGCCATTGGAAGAATAAGAGCCGTGGATCCAGATTTTGGAAAAAATGCAGAAATTGAGTACAATATTGTTCCGGGTGATGGGGGGAATTTGTTTGACATCGTCACAGATGAGGAGACACAGGAAGGAGTCATCAAATTGAAAAAGGTACATGGACCAACCTGTAGACAATTGACTCTAATGAAGAAGAGAACGAGCGAGAGCAGAAACAATCAATGATTTTCATTTTCCTCCTATGAGCCACATCCCAAAGAAACAGACAGCAGGTGTAATAACTATGAGACCTTGACACCCACTGAAACTTTACTCCTTGAGTAGCTGAAATATGTGCTTGGCTGCGATAATGAAGTATATTAATTAGATTGATTTCTTTAAAATCTCATCAGAAGTTAACTGTAATTTAAATTTTTTATATATACAAAGGGGAAATTTTTATATAAAAATAAGAGCCAAAATTAAATGCCAGTTTGGCTGATCTTGATCCATGTATAACTTTCCTGAATATACAATCATGTATAGACCTTAAGAAAACACTGGAAGGAAGCCGGGACCTAATGGAATGGCAGGAAGTTCTTGTAGTGTCTGAGCATGTGCTTTGCAGAGAAAATGAACCCTACGATAGCATCTCTGAGCTAGAAGATTCTAGGCAACGAGTCCATTGGGATGGTCTCTCACTGCTGTGGATTCAATGTTGACTCACAGCCACCCCTTGTGGGTTTTGGGGCTGTAATTGTTTGTTTGTTTGTTTTTAATCATTTTATTAGGGGCTCATACAACTCTTATCACAATCCATACACACATCAACTGTGCAAAGCACATTTGTACATTCATTGCCCTCTTCATTACCAAAACATTTCCTCTCCACTTAAGCCCCCGGC